TAGACAAGTCATCCCCAACTTTCAAACTCTTTCAAAACATCTGAGACGCCAAATAGTAAAATTATATAGCCTAAACACCATACCCTTTTAAGCATCGCGCGCATGCTCGGTTAGGTCGAACAAGGGGGTGTACGAGGTTCTGGCTCTGGAACTCTTTGCCTTTTCCTGTGGCTGACCAGAGACCATAAAGAGACTGGCATGAGTAACGATGGGATGCTTGCTGTGATACAGAAGAAACCCGCATATAAGAACCTAGTGAAATAAAAACCTACAGGCTGAAATTTGTCCTTTAAATACCCAAAAATGTAAGAGCCTGTTCAGCCTGGCAAAGAAAAATAGATCGTTATACAAAAAAATCAATTCAGTTTTAATCGTCAAAATTCAGGGTTTTAATTGTGTGACAAAACTTATTGTGTATATGTTTTCTTTCACTTTACATTTGCTTGGATTTTCACTAGAAATTTGTTTTCGATAAACCATTAAGTATTAACAGTACAATATTTCTGCTATGGTTACATTACGACACCTCCCAAAAATAAGACCCTATTTTAAAAGAACATGATTAATCAGCCTGAATTCAGAAAAACAACCCTTAAATATAAGAACCTGATCTTGAAAATTCTAGGTTCTTATATGCGGGTTTTTACTTTAAGTGATTATACGAAGGAATCGAACTGAATCCAAAAACTTGTACACGTACTCAATCTCGTACTGGAAGTCTTACCTAGAGGTTCTTAATGTGTCTGTCAAAAAAACGTGATAATATGATGATGGTAACGCCTGGGCGACAAAACTGCGTGATAAGGAAGAATCACATGATATATTTCATTTCTGCATTCTGGTACGTTGTTGAGCACATTAATGACGTCACGCTAATGACGTCAAACTGGTGTTACGTTGTAAAATGGAAAAGAGGCAAAGTTAGTTTAGTATATGCTTTCGCTTTTTTGTTTTGCAGCTGTATGACTGATGCCAATGTGGCTTAGAGCTGTCTTGGCAAACATTGAGTACATAAGCCTCCATATTAATTTTTTGCTGATACTACTTTCATTTTTACTATAACTAATTAAACACGGAATAAATTCAAAAATGTATGTTCGTGTTGGTGAGATATATCACTTCCAATATGAGCTGACCCGTTCAAAGTATCAGAAATGCTGGCGTAGTGAAAAAAGAAAAAAAAAAAAGGCAAAAAAACAAAGGCAGGTATAGAAATGAGCTTTCTTCTTTGTCTCGCCGCAAAAAAATAAGGGACCTTTGGTCCTCGAGTGGGAGGATTAGATAAAAAAAATTTAAAAAAAAAAGAGACGCCGCCCGCACGCGAGATAAGCTGATATCACTATGAGAAATGATTTTCATAAAAAGATTCTTCCCATTTTCAGGAAAAAGCTAATTAAAACCTAATTAGTTGCGGAACTTCAATTCTTCTTAATTATTGCTTCTCTTCTGCAGTTCATCAGCGATTTTAGTGAGCCTACAAGATCGGCCAATATTATATCGGCGATTTTAGGCTAAGAAGCAAATCGTATTCGATCTATTTCAAATTTCTGAGAAAAAAGGAACCATGATCTGTCCTTTCGTTAGCGGTAAAATTACTAGGGGTAATTCAAGATTCAAAGAGCTAAAACGCTCAATATTGCTGAGTGCACTGTTGGTTGCAGCATTACGAAAATGCTGTTGCCAGCGTGTTTAGAAAATCACTTTGGTATATTACGTTGTTGCTACTAATAGCCTGCTTTTTTTTACTTTTCTCGAATGCCATCACGTTTTGTAGATCTGAAAAGAGAGAGGTCTTTTCTAAGTAAATGGAAGAGACAAAAAAGGCACTAAACATTTCAAAGGTTATATTTCAAATTTCAATCGCACACCTAGCCCATTTGACAAACGTTCCAATGAAATTCCAATTTGGGAATGAATTCATGATTAATGCTCATTTACAATTTAAGGTCGGTACACACTAGGCGACAAGTTGCTGCAACACGTCGCGGCGACAGATCACTCCGTGTGCACAGGTCGGGCGACTAATTGCAGTAACAAGGTGAGGCGACACGCGGCAGCGACAAATCGCTTCGTGTGTATTGGAGAATTTTTGTGAAAATCTTTGTCTCCGCAACAGAATTTTGTCGCTGCAACAAGTCGCAAAAAATCAAATCAGACTGAATCTGTGCGACTTGTTGCGGCGACAAATTCTGTTGCAGCGACAAAGATTTTCACAAAAATTCTCCAATACACACGAAGTGATTTGTCGCTGCAACGTGTCGCCGCGACATGTTGCTGCAACTTGTTGCCTAGTGTGTACCGACCTTTATGAAGATAGGGTAAGACGAGATATAATAAGTTACATTATTGAATGATGATACATTTTTTGGTGAGCAAGATGTTCAACTTTAGAGTCTGCGGATGGCATTTAGAGTTCTAATATGCGTTACACATCTTTAGCTGTACAGCTTTCACGGAATCTATTTGTTTTCCGGTTATTAAGCAGAAAGTAAAGTAGTTTAGTTTTAAATCTGATTTTGGACCTTCATGTTATTGAATCAGCAATGATTTTGGTGGTCTTGACACAAACCTATCCGATCATAATATAATCGCTGCGATCGCTGAGTTTTCTTTTTAACAATCCACAATATTCATGAGGCAATCAGTAATGTAGCTGTCGGTAGAGAGAATATCAAGGTTTTAAACTAGCGGGATTTAGCCATGTCTGCGAGCACAGTAATATACTAGCTCGCCTAAATAACAGTAATACATATACATATAATGGCGCTGTTTATTCTCTAAAAGGGTGCCTCTACAGCTATGCTTAATTCAAACAGGTCAAGGTTTACGTTGGTGTTGTTTATCGCGTACAGTGCTTTGGCGCTTAAAGTGCACACCCTCTACAAAATTCTGTCCCCAAATGACCACTAAAGAAATGAGCCGTTTTTATAAGTTGGTGGATAAATATTTTGTTTAATTCTGTAATCCTGTGGCTGACCAGACCTTAAAGAGACATGAGCAACGGGATGCTTGCTGTACAGGCTGAAATTTGGCATTTAAATACCTATAAGAACCTGTTCAGACTGGCAAAGTAAAATAGATTTTATATCAAAAAGTCACTCCAATTTTTATGGTCAAAATTCTGGGTTTAGTTGTGTGAGAACTTCTCACAAAAAGCTAATTGTGTATATGCTTTCTTTGATTTACCAGTTTGCTTGGATTTTCACTAGAAATATTTTTTCCATAAACAATTATGTGTTAGCAGTACAATACTTACGCTAATGGTTACACTATATACACGACACCTCTGAAAAATAAGAACCTATTTAAAAAGAACCTAATCGGCCTGAATTCTGAAAAACAACCCTAAAATATAAGGACCTGTCCAGCCTTACCTCAGTAATTCTAGGTTCTTATATGCGAGTTTTTACTGTAATTGATTATACGAAGGAATCGAACTGAATCCAAAAACTTGTACACGTACTCAATGGAAGTCATACCTAGAGGTTCCTAATGTGACTGGCAAAAGAACGTGATAATATGATGATGGTGACGCTTGGGCGACAAAACTGCGTGTTATTTAAGTAAGAAATAATATATGCCATGTTCTTTTTTATCACCAGTCTGCATTCTGGTTGTTTAGCACACCTATAACGACGTCACACTTATGACGTCCAACTGGTATTGCGTTCCAATGTGGCTTAGAGCTGTCTTTGCAAACATTGCTCAGTACATAAGCCGCCATATCCTTTTTTTTGCTAATGCTTCTTTCGCTTTCACTATAATCCTTAAATCATGACTAATCATATACGGTATAAATTAAAAAATGTGTGTTTGCGTTGATGAGATATTTCAGTTCCAATATGGGCTGACTCGTTCAAAGAATCAGAAATGCTGGCGTAGTTAAAAAAAAAAAAAAAAAAAAAACAAAACAACAAAACAAAACACTCACTGTTAGCCTCCGGGTATAGAAATGAGCTTTCTTCTTTGCCTCGCCGAATAAAATTAAGGGACCTTTGATCCTAGCACGGGGGTCTAAATGAAAAAAAACGCCTGCACGCGAGATAGCTTATATCTCTACGAGCAACGGTTTTAATAACAAGATTCGTGGCATTTTCTGGTTGCGGAACCTCAATTCTCCTTTAATTATTGTCTCTCTTCAGTCTGCAGTTCATCAGAGATTTTAGTGAGCCTATAAATTCGTATTGTTATCACTCATTTTCTGCGTTATATCGGCGATTTTATATTTAGGCTAACAAGATCTATTTCAAATTTCTCAGAAAAATGGAACGATCGATCCTTTCGTTAGCGGTAAAATTATTAGCCGTAATTCAAGATTCAAAGAGCTAAAAAGCTCAATATTGCTGGGAGTGGACTGCTGGTTGCAGCACTACGAAAATACTGTTGCCGGCTTATTTAGAAAATCACTTTGGTTTAATAACGCTGTTGCTACTAATAGCCTGTTCAGTTTATTACTGTTCTTGAATGCCATCACGTATTGTAGATCTGAAATGAGAAAGGTCTCTGAGGAATGAAAGAGACAAAAAAGTAAACATTTCAAAGGTTATTTTCAAGTTTCAATCGTATAAGTACATACCGAGCACATTTGACAAATGTTCCCACGAAATACCAATTATAATAATAATGATAATGCGCATTACAAAATCATGAAGATAGGGTAAGACGAGATATAATAGGTACAACGTTAGTATGGATTTAAAAGGTAAAAAATAACAAAAACGAAGAGTTAAAAATCGCCACCAATTTAGCAATATACTTCTAATTACAACTGACTGGTAGTAAATGTAGCAGGGAAAAGGACGATAAACCATGTGTTACATTTCTTCTTTTTGCTCTTCGCCCTTGGCATCCCCTATTAAAAAACCACAAGCAATTTCTTTTTGGTGCAAATGGTAAATTTAACCTTGATCCTAATCAAAGTGTGACCATTTAAATGAAAGCTATTGAGCAGTAATTTCCCGTGGTACTGTTTATTATGCTGTACAAGTTTGAATCTGTGAATGCTGTACAAGGTTGTGGATGACATTCTGAAACGTGACCATTCAGATGAGTCAGCGCAACTGAACTACCTTCCTGTAAGTAATACATTTTTTGCTGGGCAAGGAGTTCAACTTTAGAGTCTGCGGATGGCATTTAAAGTTCTAATATGTGTTGCACATCTTTAGCTGTACCGCTTTCAACCGTTCAACTGTTTATTGATTATAGTAAATTTTACAGAAAGCAATATCCACTGCCCGCAGTTAACAGATTTAAGCTACAATTGTAGTCGAGGCGAACTGTGGTTACACGTATGTCATATATATATATATATATATATATATATATACAAATAGCTCACAAGAAAGGCTAGAGTAAAACAGTAAAATATGTGAAATAAATTAATAAAAATAAATTCAACTCAGTTAAGTTTACAATCATGTACATTGCAAATATAAAGAAGCCAAGTTTTCATGAACTGTTTGTTATTAAGGCGGGTAAATCAATATTAATAATCATTTTCTTCTAAAAGTATTCGGAGTAAAGTGTCGTGGACATTGATTTTAAAGTTATTTTTGGACATTTGACACATTTCACAAGGTAAACTATTCCAGATTTTTACCACATCCTGAAAAAGACTTTGTTTGTTTGTCTAGCTATCTTTCAGTGTTTAACATAATAGTCACCTCTTGAAGGTGATCTTGTATTATATGGATGAATATTAGATTGGGAAGCAAGTTAGATATGTTAGTAGGTGTTAAGCTGTTAGAATTATCATGGCTTAGAATAGCAACGGATTTAAAGTAGAGTAGATCTAAGGGAATAAAGCTAGAGGCGATGAAATAAGGTTAAATAAGGTACTGCATGAGAATTGTAGTAACCAAAGAACATGAGGCGGAGGGCGCGTTTTTGAAGAAAAAGAATTTTGTTTTTGTAAGTTTTAGCATCTTGGCCCCAAGCGACTGTGCCATACAATAAGTAGGGCTGGATAAGAGATATGTATATGTGATGTAAAGTTTTCAGGGGTACAAAGTGTCTAAGGCTGGCAATAATGCTAATGTTTTACTTTTTTTTGGAGCGATGTGGGCGATATGGTATTTCCGTCATTCAGTTCTGAGACTGCTCCAGTCAGGTCAAGTTGGGACAGTTCGTTTAGGGATTTTGTCTCTGGATAATTAAAGAAGTCACGGAACAGCATTTTTTTTACTTTAGAGGTAATTTGAAGATTTAAGAATACAGAATTGAGAAAAGTGATCAGTTAACTGAGATTATATTACCGCTTGTTATGTTATCTTCTAGATTGCTAGCTAATATGTTGTCAATATGTGAATATGAGTTATGATGTACTCTCGTTGGTTTTTAATTGTCAATTGTTGGGGTTAAGTTGAAGCTTTGGAAGGATAAGATAAAGTTTTGCGCGTATTTGCAAACATGAAAGCGAAGGAGATAGGAGATTAATATCAAAATCCCCTTCAAAAAGATCCCTGCTTGCCAGAGGCGCTGAGTTTTTCGTTTGTTCGATCAAAATATTCCTGAAAACGCTCTGGGGAATTATGCTGCCTATAAACAACTCGGCATATTATATTTGCATGTTTGGGTGGGTGTAACTCAACCCAAAGGGCCTGAAAAGCCTCATTATAACATTTTCGATAATTGTGTATTTAAGATTCTCATCCATATACGTGCGAACACTCCAGCCGAAAGAGGTGTTGGCACATGTTCGAAGTTATAGTGGGGTATATCAGGATAAAAAACCAGATTATTACACGCATTTTTTATTCTAGTTTCTGTGATACCTAAAATATTGAAGCAAAAACTAATTTCATCTAATAGATGGGTTTGGAAATTTTCCATATTACGTTTTAAGCTTCGGATGTAAAGTATGAAAAAATGAAAAACTAGAATTTGAATAAGAAGACATATTTAAATGTACCTAGCGGTCGGAATATAGGCGCTGAGGTCGTCAGATTTCTTGCCCAAAAACACTATTTAGAGTGAATAAATCTAGATCGTGAAAGCTTGGTAAGCGATCAAGATATTTTTTGGTGGGAACACAAGCATGGAGACTGTTATTGAGCTGACCATGAGAGGATATGAGATCGCAAGAATAATAAGGGAGCTCTCGTAGGAGAGCTTTGTTTACCGTTTGATTCACAGCTTATCGTAGTCCTTAAATATAATCTCTTAACTTGTTTATCCGTGGCGGGCAGCAAAATTGTCCTTGTCCAGTTATTAAGCAGAAAGTAATTTAAAAGTAGTTTAGTATTAAAGCTGATTTTAGGCCTTCATGTTATTAAACCTGGATTAGAAGGTTTACAAAATAGAAGGCATTGAATCAGCATTGATTTTGGTGGTCTGGACACAAGCCTATCAGATCATAATATAATCGCTGCGATCGCTGAGTTTTCCGTTCAGTTAACAATCCACAATATTTATGAGACGATCAGTAATGTAGCTGTAGGTAGAGAGAATATCAAGGGATAGAAACTAGCGGGATTAAGCCATGTCTGCGAGCACAGTAATACTAGCTCCCCTAAATAACAGTAATATGTATAGTTACATACAATGGCGCTGTTTATTTTTAAAAGGGTGTATACATAGCTATGCTTTATTCAAAGAGGTCAAGGTTTACATTGGTGTTGTTTATCGCGTACAGTGCTGCGGCGCTTAAAGTGCACACCCCCTACAAAAATTCTGGCCCTAAATGACCACTAAAGAAATGAGCCGTTTTTATAAGTTGGTGGATAAATCTTCAGGCTTCTTTACGCAATTGCATACATTCCGTTCACTGCGACGATCAATTCTTCATTCGCATTTTCGGTTCTGTTTATTACGCTGTGTTAAGTTCTACTGTTTTGACGTTTGATCAGCCGTTAAGGAGATTCTTAAAGGCAACTCTGATCTCTAGTTGTATATACATCGCTTTTTGACAAAATGTGCACTGTGCTCTTGAAGATTTTTTATTAAACCCGAGTAAAACAGGAAGGTCTTGCAGCTTTTCACGGAGGAAAATTTCAAGAAAAAACTCGGGGACCAGGGTACGCAAAAATTGGTGCAGTAGAATCCTTTTCCGTTTAATTTATCACTGGAGACTAGGAAATCCGATTACTAAACTCCCACCTTGAAATGATGCGTGGAAAATTTTCAAAAATTCCTGTTATTTTCGATGTCGGAAAAGATTTTTGACTGCTGGAAGCAAGTTTTATTTAAGCCGGTACTGCTTTTTCAGCAGATGCAAAAAGGAAGTGGACCGTCTACTTTGAGTTCCTTGGTTAGCATCAGATTCCTGCTTCCTATTCAGTTGTGTTCCCTAGTTTATCTCGTAAGCAGATGCAGATTTGCCCTCAGATTATTTATAAGGACAAGCACGTTTGTAGAAACATCAGGCTGGCAGGAAATCTAAATGTTTTTTCCTCTGGCTTACTTAGACCTTCAAATGTTTTTGCGCGGGGTCAAGAAGACATCTCTCTCCCGTAGCGTCCGGCCTGGAGAAACCACTGCTCGCAGGGTAGAAGACATCCTTCTACACCAATATTTTGATATGCAACATATCTGCAACATATCATACTCGATCTTCTGTAGTCTATGGGGTGCGCTGTTTTACTTCTTCTTAGGCTGGGACTAAGCAACTAATATTCCGGGCCATGCCAAACCAAGTGTCTTCAAAGTTATGTTAAGTCTCTGATATGAATTTCTTGGTCTGGTAACTACATGGCAAGTATAACTAGACATTACCAACCTGACTTGGAATAAAAATACCAAAATTCATAAAAGGACAAGAATCACGCGCAAACGTTTTATCTTTTAATGTATTTTATCTTGTAACTTTGGCTTGTTTTTTCTGTAATTCTTATTTATCCACATAGTTTATTTAGTTTCTTTACAATATTATCTGTTATGACTGCTGTAGCCTTTCCTCTCCGCCCGCCTCGTCTAGCGTTTGCTTTTTGCGGGCGGAGATGGCAAAATGATGTGTATGAAATAAAGTATAGCATGTGTGTGTTGTACTAATATCAATCTTATTAAGGCGAAGAACTGCTGAAAATTTAAATCATTGGGTGTTTTGAAAGAAAGGCGGTAAGAAACTTTAGCGCAGTCTAGCTCTCCAAAACAAAGGCATAATTTAGCCATGATAGAAGCAAATAACAAAAACTAAAATGGGCATTAATTAAATTTCTTATTCGACTTTATCCCTCAAATATTTTTTTCTGTTTCTCCCTTTTCGGATGTGTGCTTTCGTGCCAGTCCTTCGCAGTTTCTCAGTCTATTGTACCGAACGGTGCGCTGTGTCGAAATGGACATTGTGGAGTGAGTTTACAAGATACGGAAACACGTCCTGGGGATAAAAGAGTTAAAAAAAAAAAAAAAAATTGTTTTCTGTTCGCTTCTCGAAATGTTTACATTAAATGGCTCAATGCGTGTTTGTGCGGTATTTTATTTGTACAGTAATATTATACGGAAATCCAGAATAGACTTTGTTCTATAGACTTTCCGGCCATCAGCCACAACTGACTTCCCATGAGAGGTTTTAGGAGCTATTTAACCTCTATGTTTAGCTTACGGCTTCCTAATATGCGACAACTAGACTTCGTCTCAGAAGGTCGGCTATCATAATCAATATAAATAGAGTGGCCCCGTCTCAAGTATTCATTGTTATAATGACCCTAGCCCTGAGGGGAACTGGTAACAATGGACTTCCTAAAACGTGTATTTTCACGTTGCTAAGACAAGGAATTTTAATGACACCCGAACTGAGAAAATAAATTCAAAATCTACTGCTGCTGCACGTTACTAAGGCAAGGAATTTTAATGACACCCGAAATGAGACAATAAATTTAAAATGTGCTGCTGCAAACACATTATAGTGCTAAACGGATAAAGCGCGCGCGATAAAGCCCGATTGTTTGAATGGGGAAGTGTGTTTCTCATTTACAAACATTTGATTAGTGGTATGATTTACTTAAAGGCCGTATAATGAGTATGACCTTGACCGTACCAACTGATCAATGTCAGCCTCACTATCGTTTGCGTTGTAATTTTTGAAATAGATTTGTAAACAGTTTTTAAAAAATGTTACCATCAGTATCTTTATCGGTCACTTTACAAGCAACTACAGCTAGGTTTTTTATTCCTTCTTCCAGATTCTTAAGCACGATTTAAAAATGTCTGCAACAAGCACAAATTAAAAAAATTCTGTAATTAAGTCAAAGGGGCTTGCAAGGGCTTTGTCACGCTAATTCCTATCTTTAACTTTTTAAACGAGTCTTCGCATCAATCAAATTCCGAAAATTTGCAGTTATGTTATTGATGACTATATTTAGGCATCGAAACTCGTTTCTGTCGTCTGTTGCTACGGATAGCAATTAGGAAGTGGTCCAACGTTTCCAGGCACGTTTTAATACTACGCAAAAATCTTCAAAATAATTGTTATGGTCCGTGCTCCCTGACATTTTTATTCCCTAAGCAACCATTTTGCCCTAAATGAAAATTAAGTGTTACGTTGGCTTAGGGAAGGGTGTGTGGGCAGTTCCCCAGAAACGTATGATGGTTCATTTGTTTCATATCTTCGTCATAACCACAAAGGAGCATTTTTTGTGTGGGTAAAGGTGCTAAGTAATCAGAATTGAAGTAAACAGCAATATCTTCGTGCCACTTTTTTTTTGTTCGAAAGTAGCAATGACATTAATTCAAGGGCACTTAGAGATAAACATGTAGGACCATTTTTAAAATTGCCCGTAACGCGGACACTTAGTATTTTTCTTCAGCTCGTGATTTACAAGCTTTTCGAGTGTTCTCCCAACGTAACAAGTGGGTTATCACGACGGTAAACCCATAGAAAGTGTGGTCTGTTGCTTTTATAAAATAACTTGTAGTAAAAGTATGAGTTTACCGGCACAATAAACCATAGGTTTTTAACCAATCAGAACGCGCGTATTATCTTAGTTATTTTATAAATAGTTATAAACAATGAAAGGGGGCTAGGTCACGCGAATATTGCTGTAAAGTTTTATGTCAATTCTGTGCTGAAGTTATTGTTTACACCCATAAACAAAATCAGTGGCTAAATGCACTTTGAGAGACGTGAAGAAGGTATAGATATCAAACAAATTTCATCAGTGAGTCCCATGATCCTTGTCACCTGTAGCCACAGACCAGGGGAAAACGTTTCTTTGTTTGAGTATAGTCTTACATAACAAAACTGGACCAATTATTTGGAATTTAATTCATGTGAGACTTAAAAGATAGCCAAAAGCGTGTCGTTGCCCCTATTAAGGAACGACATGCGTTGTCTAGAAAACTTTCCTCAACACATCCCACACACTTCCAGTGCCAATTGAAAAAAAAGTTGGATCTTCTATCGTATATCTTTTGTCTCTAGTACGACGCACGGTTCTATTCTTTGATATCTAATATAAGACACGTGTTATCTTAAGAAACGCGATTGTTAATCGATTTTGAAAAACACCCTGAGGCTGCATAGTCAAGCGAAACAGTTGAAAGCTACAGAGAAAGCCGTAAGTTCGTCTGGTTATCAAGTTCATTCGCAAACTTTTAACGTGATTATTATTGCTAGAAAAAAAAAGATGATTAAAGTGGTCAATTGAGCTGTTACTGTAATTGGGGCTAGAAATTGAGGAGGAGTTAAAAATACTAACCCTTAACGGGTAATAAAGAAATTAAAATTTTCGAAACATTAACGCCGGTTGCCATAGTAAAAAAAATTGTACTAACCAAAATGCTGAGTTATGAATCGCCAGAATATAAAATTAGTATACTTTTGCAACGATCCCTGTGCTTTTTTCTTTACAAATGTTGCCCTTCAGTAGTATTGTCTTTTATTGATTATGAGCGACATTAAAATGTATTTAAATTATTTTGATCCAACGTATTTTTTGAAAATATTAATAATGATAGAAAATTATAAAACATTTTAGTATTAATGCTCTCTTATTTATCTTGAGAGGATGTTATAACACAGTAGAATGCTTGCGATTGGACAATTAAACAACAAAAAATAAAGGAACTCAATTCTTTCAAAAATTGTCATCCGGAACTCTTAGAACTTCCCTGCTTTGTTTTCTTCCTATGATTAACATAAAGTTCTTCCGTTCTGCTTTTTATAGTTGTCACGAAATAACCAGACACTATGTCACGCTATTGACGTCAACTTAACATACTTTACGTTGTATCAAAATGCAAACAGCTTTTAGCTTTGTAGATTTTTTTACCCGTGTAATGCGAAATTTGGTGCCGCTCAATAATAAAACGAATAAAACACAATTTTTATCAGCAGCATCATACTTGACTTGATAAAATCATGGATGATATAGCATCATTCATAACCGAGTCCGGTCGGTCGAATGCGTATTAGCAAGATACATAAAAAGTTTCCTTCCTTCTAGGCTTCTTCTACATGTTAAACTCTCTGTTTTCGGTTCAAAAGATTCTAGCTACAAGTATAAAAGGAATAAAAGTTACAAGTAATGGTTTGATAAGGAGTGTTTCGATCGAAGGATCTAGGTATTGCCAGTCATGTACAAGTTTACTTAGCGTGACAAAATAGTATGCTAACGTCATCCCTCTTCGTAAACAGGATGACAATTAGAACTTCCTGTCTGACAAAAAGATGAATATAAAAGGGCATCTTGCAGATCAAAAATTTCAAATTGCAATTATCGAAGTTTGTGAAGTTTGCATAGTGAAGAAGGACTTACTAGCGACCGAAGACACCATGGTCACTTCAATGACAACATACGGACGAGGTACTTATTAACTTCTTACTTTTCCAATAATGTTTATATTTTATGCCCTACCCACCTAGTAATTGCAGCCGGGATAGGGACATTCCCCTGGCAAGAACAAGAGCCGACAGTTTTCTAAGAGAATTATTAACCCAGTGATACGGTTCCGTAGCCTATGAGGCCTGACATAGCACCGGTCGGACGCATTTCTTACCTTTGCATTTAAAAACATTATCAAATTCCCATGTAATGATTGCAACAGTTTGTAGAAAATTTACTTACATTTTGAAAGGTTCCGCTACATAACACATCTATATGTAATGTGTTTGCAAAAACATGTTACATGAATTAGGCCGGATAGCTTGTAGGGAGCACAGAACAACTCTGAACTGATTCTAAATCGCACATAAACTGCTCCACACCGCTCTTCGAGCAGTTTTATTCTGCTTATAAATTAAGGCAGTGTGAATGAGTGGGTGCCTTGAAAATCGTGACTATCATAGGAAACTGCTCTCTTCCGGCGGTGGCGATTGGGCGATTAGAACACTGAAAATAGATTCAAAAAAGAGATATTCTGTTGTTTTGATGGGTATTTTGAAAAGTAAATCCGAATTTATACGAAGTTAAAGTACAGTTATAAAGCCGCAACTGAGGCACTATTAGAGAACCGACCGAGTTACCTTAAGCTTAAAACTTGACATTGAGAGCAAATCCTCACAGTAAAACGTTCTATTTGATCTTAGTTGAAGCAGCTCAAGAAACAGAAAAATCCAATCCCCAGCAGCCGAACGAGTTTTATAGTCTGTGCGAAGACAAGGATCAACCAAGTCCTGGCGCTAAAGAGCCTCGCTACAAGAACATCGTGCATCTGTGGGAGTATCTCCTGGAGCTACTGGCAGAAGATAGCTGCCGCTCATTGATAACTTGGAGTAACAAGGAACGCGGAGAGTTTAAACTGAAAAACCCTGGCGAGGTGGCGAAGAGATGGGGACTCCTGAAAAGAAAGAGGGGAATGAATTATGAGAAATTGAGCAGAGCCTTGAGATATTACTACCAACAAGGAATAATTAAGAAGGTGAATTTCATTCTTTAAATGTTTGAACCTTTTTTCTTTCTTTTTTTGGGTAATATAATGAAATGATGAATAATGAAACACTGTTCTTCAATCGATGAGCCTCTCAAGTGACGTATACTCTTAAGGCTTTCCTGGTGTCAGTTAAATCTTGAATCTTATTTCGTTGCTTGAGTTTGAAACAACAAAGATCCTTCCTGAACAGAGATTCAATTCAATAAAGGTTTGTTACTTCAACATCGTGCACAAAATGTTGATAATTCACACTCAAACAATCTTTACCTTCAATCAAGATTATCGACGAGGGATCAATACCAAAATGAGATACAAAACTTGATAATGAAACTGAAACATTTTAGAGATCTTTTGATTAGTTAGATAAAGGTTTTAAATGGACATCTTCCGTTTACATATTGGCTTGTTATTAATCATTTTTTCAACTTGTTTTTATTCAGGTCCCTGGGCAAAGGTTGGTGTACAAATTTAACAAGCTCCCTTACAAATATGAACCTGGTGTGACTAGAGCCACGCGTCACGCAAGCAAGATAAGTGCAAGTATACACGAAGAACAAGAGCAAAGGCTAGTCACACCACCATCTCCCACGCTAGTCACGCCACCATCTCCCTCGAAACCCAGTACTTTCGAGGAAAAGCCTTCTTCTCCTTTCTCCCCAACCACCGTTCCCTTCGGAAAAAGTTGGTCCTGGCCAGTGGTTCACGTTCCAAGGTGCCCTTTGTGCTCTTGTCCAAGCAACATTCCACTACTTTGCTCTACCGGAAGTGGAAGCAGTCGAAGTAGAATTATCTTCCCTTCAGTCAATCAAATCACGCCGTCGTGGCCAATTCCTGTTATTTTTAAGCCAAATGAGCCACTTTCTGCTGTTTATGAGCCCAGCTGTCCTCCTACCTGGAAAATGTAGATGAAATCATAGACTGTCGTGACACTGAGAAATTGTAGATATTATTTAGAAAGTAGAAATATTTTCTTTAAAAAACAACTTCTGTGAAGTTAAATTTGTTAAATGCATTGCATTGTTATGTAAATACCATTAGCTTTTGAAAAACTTGCAGTCATAAACAAGCGGGGCAAATGCT